CTGATCTCAGGCAGGACTAAAAGATTCTCAGTACGCTAGTCAGCCAGGAACAAGGTACTACAGTCACATTTCAGGTATGCACACAAATTCCCAGTCCAAGATGCAGTACAGTACGACATGCAAAGGGCTAATTAACGAATTACGGCAGGACTTCAGGATAGCTCACTGCAGATAGCTCCGGCAATGAGCGCAGGTGGCAGACATCTTCGCATAAGACAGAGTTCCCCTCCATATGCACAGCACAAAGAGCTTCACACTCATGTCAACTGCAGTCGAAGCGGCCTAGCGGATGCATCCATATCCACTGCCAGTCTCTCATGCATTTCAGGAGCCGTAGGGGACTCGCATCAGTTGTGAGAGGTCCACTTCCCCCCAGCCAGTGAGTAGCTCTCAGTCAAGCACCGGCTTTTGTGGCTTGACTCATTGTTGCCAACACCGGGCGTCTAGCCATGCAGTCCACTGATCTGTGCAGGCCTCATCAAGATCTCCCAGCAGAGGAGGTGTACCCGGAAGTGATGCCAGGTGATGCACTCCTGTCCCATGTCAAAGCGGACTTGCCATTCTTGAAGTTTGTCTTCAATATATCCCATGTCTACCTGCCAGAATCTCTCTTTGTCCGGGACCTGTGACCTATTGTGTAAGATGGCTCGTTCCAGGCTCTCAGAGTAATACCCCATCTCAAACGAGGTTGCGAAATGCCATGCCCAGGCGCGTCGCATCTGTCGTAAGTAGTTGTAGAAGAGAACTGCCAGGAAGTGGGCCGCAGGTTGGGGTAACCTCGAAGGAGTGTGTCGTACCTCCTGAGCCATGAGAGGCACGAACTGTCTCAGGTGTGGTGTCGATGGCACCGAGAAAATTCCCATGTCCATCTCTCAATCCTGTAACAGCTCTCGGGCGCAGCTCCTGGGATCCAGCAAGGTACAAGCAGTCGAGCAGTCGAGTCAGAAAATGGCCGTGGCGACGTATTTACGGCTACCAGGGCTGTGGTGCGGAATGCTACCAGGTGTGCTCGCTAGAGGTCTGGTGTTGCTGGCCTTTCTTGCCTGACAGAACTCTTTACCACCCGACCGGCCGAGACAGAGACCAGTACAAAGCAGTGCATGCATGCAGGCATCGCCAAGGGTCAGAGGTGAAAAAGACAGGCAAGGGATAAGCGGAGCAAGTGAAACAAAAGGGCAAGGAGGGAAGCAGCACGGCATGGGCAGCAAATGCGCAGAGATGTCGATGATGGCTCTGGCAGAGGTCCTATGTGTATTGTTTTGCACACTATTCTGTGCCACTCATCAGTCCTGTGGCATGTCCGATGGCTTGTCACTGTCACCAGGATCGCAGCATCTGACATCATTTCGCACCATCTCGGATCTCGTGCACATCAATCACATCCGTCACTTCAATTACATCATCGTCATCAGTTGGGGGCAGGTTTTGAGACGAGGCGGGGCCCTCAGTAGGGCAGACTTGCTTTCTTTTCTTGGGAAAGAAGCTTTTTAAAGAAGTTTGTAGGTTTCGGGTAGGGACACAAAGGGGGCATCCGAGGTTCGATAGAGCTTCCTGTAGTGAAGATGGGATGGGATGTGTTCTCAAGGGGCAGAAGGCACTTATACTGATTCGTTGGTTTGTGGGGTCCCCAATGTCCTTGCTACAGTGAGGGGTCCTTACGTCGAAAAGGAGAGGCCTCAGTCCCACATCTATCAAGCAGCCTGAAACAAGATGGCCTTGAAACGTCTCAACCCAGAATCCGCATGGACGCTCCCCGCATCCAGACACAATCCCCGAAATCCCTTGGACGCGGGTGTCAACATGAACCTGGAATTTACCCCCGACCCGGATGCCTACAGTGTGGAACTGAAGAGTGGGTAGCTTGAGTCGTACGAAGGTAGTAATAAGCCTAGTAAGATTGGGTAAACAATCGGTGGGGGATGTGAGGGCGTTGGGGGATCTCGGTGACATTCCCATGACAAGGATACCTTTCTTCGAGGGTGGTGAGGTCCAAGTTCTGGGGGGGATCAGGTCAATGAAAGGAGCAAGGTCGAGCGAGGGAGAGGGTCCCGGGTTTGTTTGGAGCCTTTGTAGAGCTGCCTGGGCCTGATGTTCTAACTCGACAATTGACATGGACAAAGGCGGACGACAGGGCCAAGGACGGTCGTATGGTTCGGTGCGCTGCATTGAAACTGCTGATCATTGAGCCAACACAAGCATCGACATGTGATACGTATTGACATTCACCACACTGTTTCCGGAGGTCCCCGATTTTGATACAGTTCAGGCTTGCACAGTAGTTCATGAATTAAAGGTACAGTACGGGCATGCAAAGGCAGGGCAGAAACAACAGGGTCATTAATCAGTCAGAACAAAAGCTATACAGGCTCATATTCGTGGTCGGCCGGCGCCGACAAAGTCCTTGAGGACCTGAGCTAGGAGTCGCTCCGACAATCCAAGGTTCTGTCCTTAGTTCCACTGTCTTCGCGATCCTGAAGGGGGCTCCTCTGTGGGCTCCGTCGCCTTAGCGTGATCCGAGCTCGCGGAAGCCGAAACGTCCTGGGTAGGCTCCTCATCGGTTGTCCCCTTGTCGGGTTTAGCATCGAGCATGCCGCGCAGAGACAGGAGTCTTCCATTGACTTTGTCTATTTTCTGATTCATGGCCTCCTGGTTCTGCTGAATCGCGATGGTTGTGGCGAAGAACTGTCGGGACATCTCTACCAACATGCTGTTAGTATCATGGACATGTTTCCTCAGTTCTTCCACTGCTCCAGCCAGGTTGTCAATGGTGTTTTGAGTCTGGGTCATAGACACGGTCATGTTGATGCAAATCTTCTCGACAGCTTGGTTCTGCTTGTTGATGGATTCCGGGATCTTATCACGCTGCATGGCAAACTCTTGCTCAAAGGAAATCAGTCGGGTTTCAAGGGTATTCATTTGCTTAGTGACCCTTTCGTCAAAACTGTCCTTGATGTCATCAAGATGATTCTGGATCTGCTGAAGATAGTCGGGGACGGTCCTCAGAAGCGGCGCAGAATGGTCCTTGATGACAACGAGGAGTCCTTGAACCGCCAAAAAACGCTCCTTGTACTCCTCCCGCTGTTTGCCAAGCAGTCTAATTTGGTTCATGACTTTATTATGATCCCTTTGCAAGCCTTCTCGGAGGATCAGCGAGAACATTCTGGGGCTATCGCTCGTCACCACTCCTGTGTGGAGATACGTCTGTCGCTCCTGCCTGAGGCTTTCTCTAATCTGCCTCAGTTCCTCGCGGGTGGCGACCAGAAACACTCCCATGCAGAAGGAAGCAAGCAGTTGAATGGCAAGACAGAACATCACCGCAAACTGAAGAGCCCAAGCATTCCAGATATCCAACCTGCTTCCCAGAATGGGTTCCCAGAACATATAGAGCTGTTTGACTGTGCTGTCATCGCTCAGGGCTTCCATGGTGCTGAGTGCGCCGGGGAGTTATGAATCTCGAGCCACGTCAGACCAGTTGTTTGGTCGGCATGTCTGTTTAGCACTCCTAGCAATCATGTAAAGCACACACGAGGGAGTCTGTTTAGCACTCCTAGCGATCATGAAGAGCACATGCGAGGGAAGCGCTCTCTTGCTAGTGTAAGGCGATCAGCTCCGGCGAAACTGGCTTTTGTTCCAATGTGCAAGGCCAGCAACTGTACATGTGGGTCATGTGCTGAAAGGCAAGGCAAGGACAAGGAAAACAGTGCAGGCAAGTAAAGGCAAAGGGCAAGGCAGTGCAGTATGAATTACGGGTGCAGGTACAGCTGTCATGACATGAATTAAGGATGCATGGTGCAGGAGTCGTGTGAAACCTCTCAGTGTCGGAGAGCGTTCCAGCTTCAAATATGATACAGGAGAGAGGGGGGGCATCATCGACCGGGGAATCACAAGGGCAAGATAGGATGACCTGACCACGACATACCCCTCTGCTGCATGTTGTTAGGTACGTCAGGCGCCCGTTTAGGCACCCGATCCAAGCAGGGCGGCCTGTGACTGCTGTACAACCATAAGCAGTCTGGCAAGGTCCTCAGCCGGCAGGCTCCACCATAGACCACTGGAGCGGGCGTGGAGGGTGGTGGGCTTGCCGGCGGGGCCTTGAATCGCAAGGCGCTCGTGAGGTTGATGGGCACTTGTCCTGTTCCTGCACTGTCCGTTGGCTGCTGGCTAGCTTGCGTATTGGGACAATGCTGCGGAGGAGGCATATGTGCTTGTGATGTTGGTCGCCACGTCCCCAACAAGTCTCGTGTTCTCCAAAGCCTTGCATACATTGGAGTCTAATTGATGACATCCATTGGAAATCTGCTGTGCGTGCCAGAGAACGTCGTCGACCACCCGCTGAAGGTTTTGTTGGTAGGGGACAACCATGTGGATGTCCCTGACATCTCCCGACTACTACTACTACTACTACTACTACTATAACAAATGCGGGCTCTCTGTCTTTTAAGCGTTCCTTCGGAAGCGCTTGCAGTGGCGGTCCACTGGGAAGAGCTGCACCCCTTGAGGGTGCACTCCCCGCCAGAGCCGCTGCCCGCGATAGCGGGAAGTCAGTGAAACATACATGTCGGGGTGAAAGTCACCCAGTGAGCGGCCGCTCTTGGAGCAGAGGATGCGTAGTGCATCTCCGCGTTGCATGCCGTGTTGTTTCCAAGCGGCTTTGTATGTCTTCCTGAAAATCTGCCTCAGCCGCGCATGTCGTCGAAACTTGAGCTCCAGAACCTCTCGTCCGCTGATATAGAAGGAAGTAGTAGTAGTAGTAGTAGTAGTAGTAGTAGTATCAGTAGTAGTAGTAGTAGTAGTAGTAGTAGTAGTAGTAAGAGGAGGAGGAGTAGTAGTAGTAATAATAATTACTATTATAGTAGTAAGAGCAGCAGCAGCAGTGCCAGTGCAATGGCATGGTTGATTTTTGTTTGGATGATACGCTGTGCCGTATGATGCTCTATGTGTCAGGCATCTCTCGGCTGCTTCCTGTTAGCCGCTCTTTGCTGTTTTCCTAGGGCTTTGCTTCATATGCCGCTCTTTGCGGACCAGATGTCTTGTGACTTCTTCACACAAAGGCCAAAATACACCAGAGTCTCGAGAGACAAGGACAGCACGTAGTTTGATGTCTCCGAAGGATAGACGAACATTCCGAACTCGCCGATTGGCCACGCTGGATCATGCTTTGATAGTTGTGGGGTTGCGCCGGTGAGATGTGCCAGATCTGACCACACTTGAACTGCAAACCACCCGCTGAACAAAACCATAGCCAAGACAACTCTGCAGTAGCACATTGATATTGAGATGCCTTGAGATTCGCCACGGTGGCCCTCGGATCTCTCCGAAACCCAGAGGCCATAGAGAATCATGATCGTCAGAGGCACCTGGCGAATGAAGTTCGGTGAAAGGAAAAGCCAGGCTCCGAGGAGAAAGCAGAGGACCAGGCAACTCCATGCTGTCACGGACCAGAATGCCAATTTGGAGCATGGCTCTCCAGCAACGGCCAGGACGAGCAAAGGCCCCACGAACTCGACGAGCATGCACCCGAACGAGAATAGGAATGTCATGAACGGGGTGCGGGCCACCCAAGCATTGAAGCCAGGAAACAAGGAAGGGAAACCCAACAAGTCTCGCTGAATCCAAGTTCCCGTGAGAGCTGACATCCAACCAGCGTATCGCAGCTTCCCGAAGCCTCCCGCCAAATAGTATGGCGCCAGTATGCACAGGACCAAATATTTCCACAACCATGCCTGCGCATGAGCACTGTCAGCATGTGGCACGACCAAAACAGCTCCCATCACAAAGAAGTACGAGGAGCACACACTCTCGGTGGGCGCGAACATAACGCCCAGGCTACCGAAATAGAAGTACATGGCTGCTCCCCAAGTAAAGCACACCGTGGAGATCTTTTTCCAGTGCAGGGTGTGACAAGGAAGATGCACCAGGCACACAGCAGCGTGGCTCGTAGGCCAGCATGAAACGAGGCATAGCCGTCAGCGGTGCTGTCGTCCAAATCTGGCATGAACAGGTACGTGAGCCGTGGCATTAGATGAGGCGAGTCTTCAAGGCTTTTGCCCACGAACAGCCCCGGCTCGTCCTTGGTGGGCTTGCTTTTCTCTCTCGGCTAGGCTCGTAATGGACATGATGCGACCCCTTAAGCACATGGATTTTCTCTTTGAGCGAAATCTTGACATGACGGGACAAACGACAGCCTTATCCAGAGCACAGCAAAGCTTCGCCGGACCCATACGGGTGTCTTCGTACTCTTCTCAGAATTTCTGGCACGGAGAGCACTGAGACCAGCGGTGACGATGCACCAAGCAGCTCAATGAGCAGCAACATGCACACGTAAACTTTCAAGGAGATCACCGAGAGTCTCGGGCCGCGATGCCACCAGGCGGTAAGCTTGTCGAGGCAGAATGCCGAATTGCCTGCTGCCGGCAATCCAGGGCGCAAGACCCCGAAAGCTGTGCAGAGAATGACGAGCGGCGCAAACCAGCAGGATCCAATGCCAAGCATGTGCTCCCTCATGTCTTGTGCTGCCATCACGGCGACCCGAACTGAAAGGAAACCTCTGTCAGAGCACATGCGTTGGAACATGGAGCAAAGCCTGGGGTGAGAGGACTTCCACTCTGCCCACTGCGGTTCCACCAGTGCCGTCGCCCAATTCCCGGGCTGCAGTGACTCTGACTCGCCTGTTCATTACGGGTGGGTGCGTTCAAAAAGTACCCGCAATTACAGGAGAGCTTCCGGGACTATTTCCCTGCACCCCTGCCTTGCAGCTTGGTCTTCAGAGAAAAGCTTGGGCGGCTGAAGGACGTGCTCGGTTGGACGATCGCCGCCAGAAGACAAACAAACATGCCCCAACGTAGCCATCGCTTCGGCGCATTCAGCATCCTACGTACTGTATGGAAATGGATACAATTCGGTGAGGGGTTTCACCTCCCTGGGCCCATGCGGCAGCGGATTCGCCAGTCGACCGGCTGGAGAACGAGCTTTCGACTTAGTCGGCTGCTCGTCTTCCACGCCTTTCGGAGCATCCCTGAGCCCGGATAGAGTTGCACGAGGCCTGAACACTTCTTAAGTAGCAACCCCCTTGCCAGTAGCATCTGCAAGAAAACTCTTTTTGAGCATTAGTGTTCTGTTAGCCTTATTCTTTAGTGTTAGTCTTATATTCTTATGCTTCTTCTGCAATTTCTGTGTATGTGTGTGCTATGAGGCGAGGTATACAAGATGCTGTGTGTCATGTGCCCTTGTTTTTGCAGGTTTCATGGCACCGCGTTGCAATGACAAACAGCTCAAATGCCTCTTGAGGCCTCGTCGGCATCTCGATGCTCTAGCATTCCTCCGAAAGTCAAAGGCCCACGCCCCCTCCCCCCCCTTTGAGGAACGGGCAGAGCGGCTTATCAGCCGCTTATCAGCCGAAGACTTCCGATCTCTAGACCTGCCCTCGCACAGAATGCAAGAAACCGGGGGGCCGACGAGAGAACTCGCATGGCGCAGGCCTGATCTTTTTCCCAGTGAGATACGATCCGCGAAGAGCTCACGAATCAGTCTCAGTCTGGTATGCCCGGTGCAGACAGCACGATGATTCGGGCCAAGCTTTAAAAGCTCACGGCTGCTCTTAACTGTGCGGGCAGCACGTGGCAGCGATGAACACCTGTGTTTACATCCCCAAGCAGCTCTACACACCCTATCAGCCCTATCACTTCATGTAGAAAGCAAAGGCTGCTCCGGGGGGCTTTCTTCGGCCGTGCCTAACCTACTCCAGTCGTCGGAGCAAGCAAGACTTCGACTCCGTTGCCTCGGCTTTACCCCACTTTAGCAACACGAGGACCCTTTGCAGTGTGTTTCTGCGCAGGCAAAGGAGTACTGGAAGATAGTGCTGCCCACTGGCTTGAAAAACTCTGACGGCGAAGGCGGCTTCTGCTCTGTACACCTACACTGTTCTACATCCGGCCCTGGCCCTTCTCCAAAGACCTCGGAACGGCTGTCTGCTGTAAAGCTCCAGGCATGGTCACTGCATGCTGCTGCCGTGCAAAGTGAAGATGTGGGTGGAAAGCTCCGGGGTCTACGCAGGCCTGAGATGGCTTGAGGCTTAACAGCTTGCATTTTTGCGAAACCTCTGGTGGACTACACGGAGTCCTTGGAACGTGCTGACGGTTCTTGCGTCCTTTCAGTCGAAGCCTCCTACCCCTCAGCAGAAAAGCATGGGCCTTTCCCAATGTTTGATGGTCGGCCTTAGATGTCCTTAGCATCTGGGGCAATCACTCCTCTTGTGGACGTGGAGCTGCCACGTCTGCATCCAGGATGAACTCCTGTAGAGACATTCTCAAGCAGAGCGATTAACGGCGAGCCATGTGCGTACCCTCTGTGGTATTGAAACAAAGCGCCGAAAAACACCACGTGTATCAGGCAAAAACGTGTTTGCAACAAGACTTCTACCGTCACGTCTCTGCAACTCCGACTCCCTTGTGCAGTTTGAAAGGTCCTTCTTGGCAGGCTCGAGTCCCACTGATGCACCCTGCAGCCGCATCAAGCGGCGTAGCGGGGCAGGGAGCCATTTCCGGAGCACGAGCCAAACCTTCGGCTAGAGGCCAAAAGGGCGGCGTACTTCGAGGGATGGGGCCCGGGTCTTGAACTCGAAAAGCAACTTCCCAGAAGGATTGTACAGCATGCCGATACAGGGCGATGAATTCGGAAGCCCATTCTTTGAAAGGGGGGCCCGCTCCGCTTCTTCTGTGGCTTCGTCACGGGGAACAACACAGAGCTTGCCGAAGCACGGGCTGCCCGCCTCGGCCATCATCTGCATCATCATCATCATCATCATCGGTGTGTGGCTTTTGGGACTGTCCTTTCCAACCTGAATTCCAGTGGCTTTCCCACAGCCTCTTTGCAGGATGTTGATGCGCTGAGGGGACAACCCTCAGTTTGGGCCTCAGGTTTCCGTGTCCACCCTGGCTGAACGGCTTGACGTCCAGGCTTCTGCAAAGGGTTCCAGACGTAGAGTGACAGCCTCCAACAGAAAGTCACGAAACCCAGAGGAACGCCCAATGAAATTGGTTTCACCCGTTGGATGCACTGCGAAACTCCCTGTCAGTGGGATTGCGTAAGGCGCACGACAATCCTCTCTTGGCGAGCTGTTGTGGAGTTGTGTACTAACTAACCACCCACGTTATGACATCCCACAAGACATGGGGTAGCTCTTCGATGCTGGTCTTACTCAGGCACTGGCCGGGAGACACTGCTTGAAGGCTCTGTCTGCCTGGCCGCATGGGGCACAAGGGGGGAGTGGTTCAGGTATTAGGCATCTCACGGGACCAGGGCCCGGCGAAGTTATCGATACCCCGACGTAGCGGGCAGTCGTGCGAGAAAGTTCCACCCGCTGGTGTCTTTCGATCTAGGTTCTGCGAACACCGAATTGCCCTTCTGGTCTGCAGGGCCAAGTCGTTGCGGCATAGGGCCTGGAACGGGCCGGCGGTGCAAACAGGATGCTGCAATGCACCGAGCCCCCGTGTACCGAAACAGTGTCAAGTATTGGGCTGGCAACCTTAAGGCAACAGGAACCCGAGCTTTCACTTACTCGTAGTACAACAATGCTATCTGCTGCTGCGCAGCACGACTACAAAACGGCACATGCTATCCGAATTGCCGCCCTGGCAGATGCCACGACATCCTGAGGACTTCCCAAGAACCCCAAACCCAACCCCGTCTTCTCAAAGTCCCATCACTTGCCTTGTCTTCCTGCTGCTCTAACTCCTGGCAGCCCGGAAGTCGGCTGGAAATCGCTGGTGTTCTTTCACGGGACTGGGCTTTTTGTCTTCAAGGCGTTCGTGGCTTCGGGTGCCCGGTGGACATTGACTCATCCTGCAGTCAAGTTTGCTCAGGACTTCAGCGTGCGTCGAGCGACCCACAAAACTCAAGGATTGCAGCTTCCATCGTGCTGGATAATAACTGGATTGCAACCTGAACCCTTGCTTTGCTTCACGCCTCGATGGCTTCCAGGAGCTGTGCTGTGGCATCCGGACGCGGCTCAGGCGGCGAAGCCTGTCCGTACGTGCATCACTGCAGGGACCGCCTCTGCCTCTCTTCAAGAAGTTCATCGGGGTTTTGCAATGTCGGCTTTGCCTGTCTTCCTCGGTTCTGTTCGAGGCTTCGGCGGTTTGCAGCTCACTCGGTTCGGGGCTTGAGGCTCCGAGAGCTCAAACCCGTAACCCTCCCTAACACTCTTAAAAGCTTGTATCCTTGACCTTCTGATCTAGACACAAAATGAAAGGCCAAAAGACTGAACAAAAAACAAGGGAATGCGTATTTATGTGGTTCTTTTCCTTTTCATTTTGCTCTTTTGTTCTGGCCCATGCATCTGTTTCCTGTTGTCTTGTATTTTGCTTAATTCAAGAATCCACGCGCTCACTTGTCTGGCCTGTGACTTTAAGTTAAAGGCAAAACTCCAAGTGTTAGGTCGCGATCCCAAACGGCTGAAGCCCGGATTCTTCGTGGCTCCGGGCCTTGTTCGGCATCTCCATGGCAGCGCCTAAGTCCATGCAAACCTCCTCAAGCCTATATCCCTCTTCTACTCTTAGGGGGTTTTGTGGCACCTGATATGTGTTCATTTGTTCGTTGCTCCGCTCTCTCGCTCTCGCTCTCTCTCTCTCTCTCTCTGCCGTGGCATCCTCAGGGTCTTTGCTCATTTCCCTTCTCATTCTCGGGAGGTGGAGCTTCATTGCTTGGTCTTAGAGCTCCTGACTTCTGGTCCTTCAACCTCACCTGAGGGCACTGGAAGGACCAAAGGACTCTTCCCGGAGAGCTACCGGGAGCTGGCCCCAGTGCAGGATTTAGAGTGGAATCTTGCGAGCACCTCGGGTACATGGTT